CTGTATCTCCTTCTCTCTCTGCTCCTTCCCTGTTTACACATGTGCACTCTCTCTCAAAAGTAAGCAACTAGGGGCGCCTGGGGGGCTCAGTTGGTTAAGCGACCGACTTCGGCACAGGTCATGACCTCGTGGTTTGTGGGTTCGAGCCCCGTGTCGGGCTCTGTGCTGACAGCTCAGAGCCTGGGGCCTGTTTCAGATTCTGTGTCTCCCTCTCTCTGCCCCTACCCCTCTCATGCTGTCTCTCTCTGTCTCAAAAATGAATAAACTGTATAAAAATTTAAAAAAACAAAACTACGTAAGTAAATATTTAGGAAAAACCTATTTAAAAATACATGCAGTTCAGTGGCATTAAGTGCATCCGTGTTGTCCCACAACCATCCCTACCCTCTGTCTCCAGAACTGTTTCAGCTTCCCAGACTGACGCTCTGTCTTCATGAGACACTGGCCCCCCATCCACCTCCCCCAGCCCTGGGACCCACCATTGCACTCTGTCTATACATACGATCTCTCCAGGTACCTTGTGTAAGTGGAATTATACAACACTTGTCTTTTTCTGACTGAATTATCTCACCGAGCATATTGTCCTTAAGGTTCGTTCATGTTGGAGCAGGCGTTAGAACGTCCTTCCTTTTTAAGGCTGAAGAATATTCCGTTGCGTGCATAGACCACATTTTGTTTGTCTCCTCGTCTGTGCATGGACGTTAGGCCACTTCGCCTTCGGGCCGTCGTGAGTGATGCTCCCCCTGGATGCTGGTGCAGAAGCGTCTGCTCCGATCCCTGCTTTCAGTTCTCCCGGTTACGTATCCAGGGACCAGGGGCTTCTGGGTCACACGGCAATTCTAAGTTGAATTTTTTGAGAAAGTTATTTCGCAATTTTAACCTTCACGCAAATCATTTCCCAGTGTGGGCCTCCATTTCCTCAGCGCAAAATATGATGGGGGGGGCGAGGGGGGGACTGAAGGAGGTCCCAAAGGAGCTGGGGGCCTGGTGACCATCCACGCCCCTGGAGGAAAGTGCTGGCCCCCCACTCTCCGTTCTCAGCTCCATCCTGGAAGGGCTCAGGCAGGAGACCCCTTCCCCAAGGTTACACCGCGCCCCCTGCGGCGAGCGTGGCTCCCGGTACAGCCACAGCCGACTGCGCTCCCGCGGGCTCCGCGCTGCCCCCCGCCAGGGGCCCCGAAAGCAAGCACGCGGGCATTGGCCTGAGACCATCTCGGTTCAAACGCCCGCTGGGCCACCATTCGGCCCAGGGTTTGCAACGTGCCTTCGGGGCGCCAGGCAGACCTGCAGGAAGGGACGCGGTGCTGCCCGCCGCCCGCCCCCCTAGGGGCTGGCCTTCCTCGCCAGGCGGGGAGGTCGGCTGGACCCGGTGGGCCTTCCACCCTTAGCGGGCGCCCCTTCAGTGAGGAGCTTCATGCCGCGCGCCCTCCACCGGTGACGGCCTTCCTGTCCAGGGGGCAGGGTTACAGGGCGCCGGAGCCTTGATGCAGGGGAGGAGCGGCCCGGGGGCACCCCCGGCATCTCGCGGCTGGGGACCAGGTGGCCTGGGGGTGCGCGCCAGCAGGGCGGCTGCGGGGACGCAGATGGGTGATCACAGGTACCGGTGAGGGTGGAGAGGTGGCGGAGCCTCATCCGCTCGGCCTGGCAGCGCAGCAGGGGCGCCGCACAACGGCCTGCCTGGTCCCTGAGGGCTCCGCACAGTCACCATCCGACCCAGCAGTTCAGCTCCTCCGTAGGTGCCAAGGGCAAACCGGTCCTCAGGAGCCCTGGGACCCAGCGCCCACGGCAGCCCGGTTCAGAGAGCCAGGAAGGGGGAACCAGGGGCGCCTGGGGGCTCAGTCGGTTGGGCGTCTGACTTCGGCTCAGGTCAGGATCTCGCGGTTCGTGGGTTCGAGCCCCGCGTCGGGCTCTGTGCTGACTGCCAGCTCAGAGCCTGGAGCTGCTTCAGATTCTGTGTCTCCCTCTCTCTCTGACCCTCCCCTGCTCACGCTGTCTCTCTCTCTCTCTCTCTCTCAGAAATATATAACATTAAAAAAAATTTTTTTAATTAAAATTAAAAAAAAGAAAGTGCGAACTAGCCACATGTCCACTGCCTACGAGGGAACCATTGTTACGCCGAGGAGCCAGGTCCCCAGACCGTCCTGGCCACGGAAGGGGTGGAGAGCTCTGCAGGCTAAACATACATGTTCCCAGAAAACCTCCCGCTGAGTGACACAAGCCAAGCAGAGGAGACGCAGCGTAGGATTCCACCTGCGCCAAATGTCTAGAACACCCGGGTCCACGGGGCGAGATAAACGGCTGCCTCCCGCGGTGATACTTCTGCGTCCGAACGCCGGAACCCCCTGAGTCACACAGTTTCAAAATGAGTTTGGTGCCGTGTAAAGTGTATCTCAATAAACTATTGTTTTTAAAAAAGAAGGAAAAATGCCAAAACAGGGTAAGAGTTTAGACATATTCTAAATATTTAAGTTGCAAGATAAATGTTTACATTTTTGCATCTTCTCCGTGTGTTTAATGACAGAATATACAACTTCATTTGGACAAAAGGTCAAATGTCTAAAGGGTCTAAGAACCCGGGGAAGGTGAGGGCAGGCGCTGCCGCCCTCAATTTGCTGTGTGACGTCAGGCAACCGCCTCTCCCATTCTGGGCCCAGATTCTTTGTCTACATAACAAGGACGCCCACACAAGTTCCAGAGGGCCCCATGCCTCCTCCTTGACCTTCTCTGAGCCGAGCTGGCGGGACTCCGGAAGGGCTCCCACGCCTCGGCACCCGGCCCCGCAGGGCATCTCTGCAGGTCTCGGACAGACAGGACACTGTGAGCCCCGTGTGCTCACAATGGTGCCATTGTGCCCAGAAGAGCCTCTTTGTTCCTCTCTGCTCAGTCTGCAGCCTTGGAGCGCGGTCCGATCACCAGCCCTGGGACGGGTGGGCCGCGGCCAAGGACCGAGGTGGGCAGGGGCCGAGAGCACTGGGCAAGCACTTTGCAGTGATGGCTGTCGTTTGTGGGGTCCTCCCTCTGGGAAGCGCCCCCACGTGCTAACAGCGCCTTCAGGGGCGCCTGGGGGGGGTCTGTCGGTTCAGCATCTGACTCTTGATTTTGGCTCAGATCATGATCTCGTGGTTTGTGAGTTCGAGCCCTGCGTTGGACTCTGCTGACAGTGCAGCCTGCTTGGGATTCTCTCTCTCTCTCTCTCTCTCTCTCTCTCGGACCCTCCCCCATTTGTGTTCTCTCTCTCTCTCTCAAAAAAAAAAATGAGGATCCAAAACTCCGTTTAAAGAAAAAAAATTAAGAAATAAATCAAAGCACCCTCAGCTGAGGTGAGTGGAAGGGCTTGTCTGAGAGCACACAGCTTTCAAGTTGCAGGGCTGGGTGCTGTGAGCTGGCCCCCGGGCACCTCCTGGGCGTGCCAAGATTGCTTGCTCTCCCCCTGCTCATTTTCCACGGACCAGGCTGTTTCCTAAGCACTGTGTGTATGTGAGCTCTTTTAAGACTCCTAACAATCCTGGGAGCAAAGTGCTGTCATTACCATCATAAGGGTCAGGAACTGAGGCACAGAGAGGTTCAGTAACTTGGTCAAAGTCACACAGCAAATGAGTAATGGAGCTGGAACAAGGACGAGGCGCCCCCAGCCAGCTAGTAAGTTCGTAAACCTGACTTTCCACTTTCTGGAGCTCATGAAGTGTTGCTTGGTGGGTTGAAAGGGATTTAAACATGCTTGAACCAGCGCCCGGCCCCAGCCTGCCGCTGAAGGGGCCAGGGGGCCGGGAAGAGGACGGACAAGGGGTGCCTGCGAGCCTGGGTCCAGCGACCCACTGCCGGCCATGCAGCACCAGCAGCTCCTCTGACAAGTTACGATGGACCCAGAAATCTGGATTTTAACTAAAAATTCCTAACTTTTATAACATTTTTTAAGTTGAGTTCTTTCGAGAGGCAGAGAGGGAGGGAGAGAGCATCCCAGGCAGGCTCCACACTGTCAGTGCAGAGCTCGACGTGTGGCTCGAACTCACCACCTGTGAGGCCATGACCTGAGCCAAGAGGCAGAGTCAGACGTAACGCACTGAGCCCCGCAGGCGCCTCTAAAAACGCCTGATTTTTAAATCTCAGCAACTAGATAATTTTAATGCCGGTACTATGCCAGCTGCGCACCCCGGCCCGGGCGGCGTGGCACATGGGCGGCCGGGCTTCACCCTCTGCAGCGGACTGACCCCCGCCCCCCAGGGCGGTTGGGCTGCAGGGCCAGGCCTTCCCCCCCCCCCCGCACCCCGGGCACGGCGGGGGTCAGCTGGGGTCGAGGGCCCTGCCCCCAGGGTGAGACATCACCGCCCCTGGCCCGTGGGGGGCTCCTCCGGGCGTTAGCGGCTGATCTGGCGGTCAGAGCCCGGCCAGTGTAGGCACGTCTTCCCTGAGGCGGTCCCGGGAAGGCCCGGCCCGCCTCGCCGAACAGGCCCCCGGGGCCCGGGCCGCGGGCTTGTGAGGAGCCCCGGGCTCTGGAGCGCGGGCAGCTGGCGGGTGTGGACCTTTGACCGCAGCGCTCCCTTGGTTTGGAAGCCAACTCGCTTCACGGACTGTAAGCCACGCAGTCGCTGGGCCGGTCCTCACGGGGCCATTTTCCGAGTTCAGCCTCGGACACGCGCTGGCCCCGCGCACTATTCACAGCCGCCGCGCGCGAGGTGGAAGCTACTGGATCGCCCCCCGCAGGTCATCGGGTCAGACGCTACGTGCGCAGTCGACGGCGCAGGCGTGCGTGCAAAGGCCTCAAGTCGTGACCTGTTCTGCGGCCCAGGCGGGCCCTAAAAATCGTGATCCAGGAAACGAGCCAGACACGGAAGGGCAGGTATTGTAACCACCGCACGACCTCCCCCCGACAGGGGCCTGGAAGCATCAGACGCACCCGAGGCGGGTGGAGAACGGGGTGGGGGAGGGGAAGGAGCGGAGCCGCTCTGGGCCGGAACTTCCGGTGCGGGCGGTCACGTGACCGCCAACGCGGTTCCTGCGCCCCGGTGCGTGCTGACCCGGTTCAGGTGGTGAGTGCTGTGCCCGGTGTGTTTTGACGCAGGACAAAGAATCGAAGCGCCTCGCGTTGGGGTCCCCGCCCCGACAGCCCGTCAAGCGTGTTGGCACCCGAGGGCCCGCGTGAGTCGAGGAAGGCGGCGTGTGGCCCCGGCCCGGCCCGCCCGCAGGAGGCCGGGAACGCGGGGTGCGATGCGGGAGCCCCGAGACGAGGTCGGAACCCGGGAGGGGCGGGCGGGCCCGAGAGGCCTCCGGGGCGCTCGCGGACTCTCTCCACCGTCGCGGGGGGTTCGCGACGGGTGCGGGAACCCGGGCCGCAGGAGCCCCGAGGGGACGGGCCTGTGTAACAGTTTCAGTGCGTTTGGTGATGCAGCACCTCCGGGCATAGCCCCCGCCCTCCCCAGCGCGCCCCTTAATCGCCTTCCCTGTCCCCCGCCCCCACCCCCTCCCCTGGGTGACCAGCAACCTGTTCTCTAGAGTTAAGTGTTTCTTGGCTCCTCTCTCTCTTTCCCCCTTTACTCGTTTGTTGTGTTTCTGAAGTTCCACCTATGAGTTAGATCACATGGTATTTGTCTTTCTCTGACACATTTATTTCACTTAGCATAAGACACTCTAGCTCCATCCACATCATTGCAAATGGCAAGATTTCATTCTTTTTAATGGGTGAGTAATATTCCATTGTGTGTATACACCGCATCTTTATCCACTCATCAGGCGGACACTTGGGCTCTTTCCATACTTTGGCTGTGGTCGAGATAGCGCTGCTATGAACACCGGGGCGCATGTGCCCCGTCGAATCTGAGCTTTTGTGTTCTTTGGGTGCATCAAACTAATGCACCTAGTAGTGCAATTGCTGGACTGTAGGGTGGTTCTATTGTTAACTTGTTTTGTTTTTTTTTTTTTTAATATTTTTATTTATTTCTAGGAGAGAGAGAGAGAGAGAGAGACAGCATGAGCAGGGGAGGGTCAGAGAGAGAGGGAGTCACAGACTGAAACAGGCTCCAGGCTCTGAGCTGGCAGTCAGCACAGAGCCCGACGCGGGGCTCGAACCCACGAACTGCGAGATCATGACCTAAGCGAGAGTCGGACACTTAACCGACTAAGCCACCCAGGCGCCCCTGTTAACTTGTTTTTAATTTAAAATTTTTTCATGTTTATTTTCAAAGAGCACGAGCGCACACACATGAATGGGGGAGGGGCAGAGACAGAGGGAGACAGAGACAGAGAGAGAGAGAATCAATCCCAAGCAGGCTCCTTGATGTCACTGCAGAGCCCAACTCAGGGCTTGATCCCATGAACTGTGAAATCATGACCTGAGCCTAAACCAAGAGTCAGATGACTAACCAGCTGAGCCACCCAGGCACCTCTATTTTTAACTTTTTGAGGAACCTCCGTACTGTTTCCACAGTGGCTGCACCAGTTTGCATTCTCACCCTCTGTGCAGATGGGTTCCTTTTTCTGTCCAAATAACCAAAGCTATCCTGAAAAAGATACTGATGAATATTTAACAGCAGAGTTGAATTTTGAACCGGCAGGGGCCAGGAGATCATAAATCATAAATTTCCATCCCTAGGGAGTCCCCGTGTCTTCACTGAACCCGTGCTGACGTCCCCAACCCTTGGAGGAAGGCATAGCCTGGCCTTGGAGCCCTCAGGAATCAGAGATAACAGCAGTTACCTTTAGCTGAGTGTGTACTGTGTGCCAGGCTGGTGTTTCTCCTTTACTTCCCAGAGCAACTCAGCAAACTACAGATAAACATCTCCCACTTCACAGATGGGGAAATCGAGACTCAGAAAGGTGTGGGCTCGGTGAGCATTGAGTAATACACAGAAGTGTCAAATGACAACATTACATGTGAAACTAATATAATGTTGTATGCTGACTACACTGCAATTAAAATTTTAGAAAAAATAATTTTTTAGAAAGGTGTGAGGATTTGCTCCAGGTTACACAGAGAGTTAGAGACGGGGCTGTCTGGGTCTCCCTAGCCTGAAAAGTAACAGAAAGACATGCCAGCACATTGCTAAACAGAGTCTTTCAAAATACCTGCTATGTGGAAACGCATTTATCAAAAGAAATGTTTATGGAGATCAAACTCAACGTCTCCAAGAGAGCTTTTAAATTGCCCTTGATAAAAGGGAGTGCATCCATCGGAGACTGGCTGAGCTAGAGACCGGGGGGCAGTATGCCCAGCAAGGCAGGGTCTGCGGGACATTAGAGCATGGCCAACTGGGGTCCCCCGCCCGGTCCGCTGCCAGGCCCAGCCAGGAGGGCCCAGGTGACAGGCCGGGCCTCAGCTATCTCTGCCTGATATTCATTTCCTCCTAGAAGTTGTCTGAGAGCCCTTATAGACAGGGAAGAGAGAAACCGTGACCCAGGGCCAGGGTGACCCCCATCCAGGTTTGTCCAGATGGGGCACGGGGAGTCCCAGGTGCCGGAAACCTAGGCCCAGGCAAACCGAACGGCTGCTTGCGTCCGGTCAGAGCTGGCCTGCCTTCTTCCTGGGAGCTTTCAGACTGCGGGAGGCAGGCTGTGACACGGGCTCCCCGTGTGACCTTGGCAGTGGCCTTGCCTCCCTGGACCTCAGTTTCCCCTTCTCTAAAGCAGGAGCTTGGCCGGAAGCTCTGAGGCTCCCTCTGGCTTCTCCATCCCTCTGTTTATACATCTATTTATGCATCTGTGTCCTGCTGATCAAACTAATGACAGCTTCTGGTCTCCACGTGGCCACTTTCCTTAGGGCATCACAGAAACCAATTAGGATGACCCAAGGTGGCAGCTGGCCCTACAGGAGTGACACCCCACCCCCACATTCATCAAGAATGTCAGTTAGGAGGTGATTATTCATCCTGACCACCAAGTGGAGCCCATCCGCCACCCCACCCCCAGAACTAGGGGGTTTATAGATCCCTGTTTACTTGGCATTTTAACCAGTGAGTTAAGAGCAAAGACCCTTAAAGTGGACGGTTGGGGAGAGGGGCCCAGGCTCTCCCAGTCCTTCAAGAAGTCTGTGCCCCGCCCCCCAGGCCACGACTGCTGTGAAGGCTACAACACAGCAGAGAAGCCCAGGGAGGGGGGTCGTGCCACAAGGAGCCCAAGCTCGGGTCCCCTGTGGCAGGTGCCCTCCAGGTCCCCAGGAAGTGGAGGAAGCTGAACCACAGGGCAGTCAGAGCAGACAACGAATCAATCAGTACAAACCTGCTTGCTAACCCCCAGCGAGCATGACATTTGCGTGCGGCCCAACCCACTGCCTGTGGTCCTTGAGCACTTTAAAAGAGGGGTAGTTGGAGATGTGCTTACAGGTGGGGGGCAGGGAAGGGATGGGGTCCAGACCTAGGAGGCGCAGAGCCCAGGGGGCCGGCAGCCGGGGCTAAGGAGCATCACCCCCCAGAATGAGGGAGGGAGGCGGGAGCACAGGCATATCCTCCATCCGGAGGGGCCTGCGCCCTGGACACGTGGGACATCGGAGTGCGTCTGTTCCGGGTCTGCGCGGGGTGCATGCCACGTCCGTGTGGGCTCTGTTCTGGGTCTGTGTGAGGTCTGCTTGAGGTCTGCGTGGGGTCCGTGCGGGGCCTGTGTGGAGTGTGCATGGGGTCTACACGGGTTTGTGCTGGGTCTGCTTGAGGTCTGCGCGGGGTCCATGCCGGGTCCGCGTGGGGTCCGAGCTGGGTCTCTTCGGGGTCTGAGCTGGGTCTGTGTGGGGTCTACACGGGTCTCTGCAGGTCTGAGCCGGGTCTGCACCATGTCTGTGCCAGGGTCTGTGCCCAGGTCCAAGTGGGGTCTGGCAGGGTCTGCACTGGGGTTTGAGGGTTCATGAGTTCAAGTCCCTGTTAGGCCCTGTGCTGACAGTGCAGAGACTGCTTGGGATTCTCTCTCTGTCCCTCCCTCACTCCTCTCTCTCCCTCTTTCTCTCAAAACAAACTCGTAAAAAGTATTCCCTGAACACTTCGAAGGAAACTACATTGTGACTGTTGGGTGCACGGCTTTAGACTTATTCTTCTGATCAAGCTTGTTAATTGCCTTGTTGAGATTTTCTATACCCTGAGTTTTAATCTGTTGAACTGTCGATTACTGAGAGGCATGTTAACAATCCTCGGCCACGATCACGGATTTGTCCATTTCTCCTTTATAATTCTCTCCGTTTTTGCATTATGTAATTTGAAGCACTTCCATTTTGTGAATATAAGCTGAACATTTTCAAGGATCTCGCTGGAGAATTGTCGTTTCATAGCGTTACACGGTGGCCTCTCTCGCCCTCCTAACGCCGTTATGCCCTGGGACACCGTCTTCTGCCGTCGGCAACGCCCCGTCATTCAGTTTGCTCAGGTTCAGGTCAGCCGTAGCCTGGCTGTGCGCTCGTGTTTGGGTGCGTCTGTGTCAACACAGTAAAGCTGCGGGGTGGTTTTTCAAATCCAGTCTGACGCTCTCTGGCCGTAAGTAGCGCGTGTGTGCGTGTGCGCGCACATGTGTGCGCCTGTCCTTCACCGGGACTGGCACAGGCCTGGAAACGTCTGCTGGATGAGACTTGGTCACCAGGAGCAGAACGAAGACACCTCCACGCTAGTGGATCGCGCGGGAGGTCGTGTCCCTCGGGGAGCTGAGTCTCGCTTACACCCGCACGCGGGGTGGGGCCCGGCCAGGGCACATGACCTGCTCAGGGCTCAGTCAGCCCAGAAGTGCGCCCCACCCCCTGCACCCCACTTCCACCTGGGCACCAGGTCCCGAGCCTCATCGGTAGACCTCGTGGGCTCCGGTGCACACTAGGAGCGTGTCCGGCCGCGGGGCCAGCGGGGAAGGATGGCCTGGGGGCTGCCTGCCCTCAGGACAGCACCCGGGGTCCCCAGCATGGCCGGCCTAACAAATGAGCACAAGTGGGCGGCTCGGAGCCACAAGGCTCTGTTGTCTCAGGTCTGGAGCCACAGGTCCGAGCCCAGCGTGGGGCAGGCCCGGCCCCCCTGGGAGGCGCCCTCCCTGCCGCCTCCACTCCCAGGGCGCCCGCGGGCCTTGGCGGATCTCCCGTCTGTTTGCATCTCCATCGCCATTCTGTCTTCACCAGCCTTGTGAGGATGCCAGCCTGGATTCAGGGCCAAGCCTAACCTCAACCCGACCAACCTGCGGGGACCCTGTTTCCAAATCAGGCCGCATCCCCAGGGCCTGGGGTCGCACTCAGCCACCCCTGCCCCACAGCCA